TGAGAAAGATTATTTCGAAAGCGATACTTATAAATTAGGTAAAGAAATTATCGAATTAGGTTTGCAGAAAAATGTGTTCAAACGCAGAGCCGATGGGGCGGTGATTATCGACTTAACGCCTGATGGTTTAGATGAAAAAGTAGTGTTACGAAGCGATGGAACATCGGTGTACATCACACAAGATTTAGGCACAGCCGAACTCCGACACCAAGAATTCAACATGGATCGCATGATTTATGTGGTGGGCAACGAGCAAGATTATCACTTCAAAGTATTGAAGTTGACGCTCCAGAAGTTAGGCTATCAGTGGGCCGATGGTATTTATCACTTGTCGTACGGCATGGTGGAATCGCCAACCGGACGATTCAAATCGCGTGAAGGCAAAACAGCCGATGCCGATGATTTGATTGCAGAGGTGTTGCGCATTGCAGAAGAGCGTACCAAAGAGCAAGGCAAGATTGACGATTTCACCAACGATGAAGCGAAGGCTTTGTACAAAACTATTGGTCTAGGCGCATTGAAGTTTTTCTTGTTGCGTGTGAATCCGTACAAGAAAATTATTTTCAATCCGGAAGAGTCGATTGACTTCCACGGACAAACAGGTCCTTTCGTGCAATACACTTACGCCCGAATTTGTTCCATCATTCGTAAGGCAGCTATAACGCCTGATACGTTGAATGTGCAAACCAATTTGCAAGGCGTGGAGCGACAAATTATTCAGCAGTTGTGCGAATACGAAAATGTAATTGCCGATGCGTCTAATAAGTACGATCCATCGGAGATTGCGAACTACGCCTACAACTTAGCGAAGCTCTACAATAAGTTTTACGGAGAGTTGAAAATTCTATCTGCCGATACCGATGCAGAAAAGCATTTGCGATTAACCATTTCGCAGGCAACAGCCAATACCATCAAACACGCCATGAAGTTGTTGGGTATTGATGTGCCGGAAAAAATGTAGGAGGAATTTAAGATACAAGAATTATGCTGTTTGATTTTATTCAAACAGCATTTTTTTATGGGCGTCCCCTTCGGTCAGGCTGCTACAGGGTTCGCTGCGCTCCCGTGCTCCACTGCGTTACGCACCAAGCCTTCCGCATCCTTCACGCGGCATTGTGCTAACATTCTAAATTATACTTTAATCGTAATCCATGCATACGGGAATCTCATCAAGTGGAGCAGAAAGGCGTTAAAGATGTTTGATTTAAGACGTTTGAAATTATTCAAACGAAATATTTCCCTTTGTTTGGCGTAGTCTCCAGACTACGGCAAAGTGGATATCAATCTCCGATTGATGTATACGAAAGTGTTAATCATAGATTAACGAACACCATGACGTAGTCAGAGACTTCGCCAATCAGATAGCGAATTATTCTGCTTTTATAAACTTTTTTTTGTTTAAAAAATATACCCCGTTTGGCAGATTCGAGATTGAAAAGCTATGTCTACTTTGTATGGTTAGATCTTTCATAAGGACTTCTCCTAATATATCTGTAATCTCAACTATGGAATTCAATTGTAAATCATCCGCAATGATCTCAGTTGTAGCAGGATTAGGATAAAGGGTTACATTTTTTGTGTTTTCACAATCAAGTTCTTCTACTCCAGTTGCATTTATAGATATTTTACGGATGAGGTGATTGAGACGATCTGAAACATAAATATTCCCATTTGCATCAACCGTTATTCCAAATGGCTCGTTAAAACTAGCAGATGTGCCTATGCCATTGGTTGATCCCTTTATTCCTGATCCAGCAATTGTAGAAACTTCTCCTATAGGTGAGATTTTGCGAATAAGATTGTTATATGAATCAGCTACAAAAATATTTCCGGTAGCATCTACAGCTATTCCAAATGGATGATTAAAGCTTGCGGCTACTCCAATGCCATTGGAATTACCAATAATACCGCTACCAGCCAAGGTACTTACTACACCTGTTGGTGTGATTTTTCGAATCAAATGATTGTATGTGTCAGCCACAAATACATTGCCACTAGCATCTACGGCAACACCAAAAGGTTGGTTAAATGTTGCATTAGTGCCAATTCCGTTCGTAGAGCCACCATTTATATTTCCAGCTAACGTTGATACAATACCAGTAGGTGTAATCTTTCGAATTAAATTATTAAATCGATCTGCTACATATACATTTCCAATAGTATCAACGGTAACTCCCAAAGGTTCATAAAAACTGGCAGAAGTATCTTTACCATTCGCAGCGCCTATGTTGCCATTTCCGGCAAATGTGCTTACAATGCCCGAAGATGTCACTTTTCGTATTGAATTGTTTAAGGGGTCTGCTACAAATACATTCCCGTTCTTATCTACAGCTACACCAGCAGGGAAGTTGAAGCTTGCAATTGTACTGATGCCGTTTGCAGCACCTTTTGCTCCACTACCAGCGAAAGTGGTTACATCATTTGTAGATGATATTTTTCGAATGAGATGATTCAATTCATCTGCTACATAAATATAATTACTTGCATCTATTGTTAAACCGCATGGACGATAAAAGCTTGCAGTTGTTCCAATACCATTATTAGCTCCTTGTGTTCCACTGCCAACAATTGTGGTTACAATTTGAGCATTTATTTTATTGGATAATACGACTGTTACTAAAAAAAGGGTTTTTAAGATTTTCATTTGAACTGATTGATAA